ACTAGTTAAATGTGGTTATGATTCCTTCAATTGATCATGCTCATTTTATAAATATATCATAATAAGACGATATTACATCTTTTTCAAGGTAAAAATTTCTAATTTTGCTTACTAATGTTAAAGAATTATTGAAAATTATAATTTATAAGTCGTTAAATAATAGTAAAATATAAAATATATTTTATTATAGACGTATCATTGCCATACCTGTATCTTGTTTTTTTAAGTTTTGTCGTATCGCCGTATTTGTATCGTATTATACCCGTGTCACTTATCCGTATCCGTGCTTCATAGGTAGAAAGTGTTGACCCAATCCTAGAAGAGCATGGTTTTGATGATAACAAACTTTCCAAGATGGACTAATGTTGTTATTAGTATGTAAACAAGGTTAGAATCAATGAAAATGCAAAAAAGAATGGCAAAGGAAGCAAAGCAATCCAAAAGGTTGGATGTGGTTGCCAAGGCATTGGCATTCGGAAGGGATCCAACATACTGGTTGAGGCATCCAGAAAGCTATAAATGACTCAACCGGTCTGCTGATTGAGATGTGGGAAGGTAGATCATATGCGAAGTCCGGAAAGCAACCCGAAATACCGGATCTGGCATCCAAAAGCATATCCAGTATACCGGATGACACATTCGGTCGACCGTATGAAGGAAAATGAAGGCACCAAGGGGAAACATTCAGAAAGTCATCCGGCATATTGGATTCTTATCCGATCGACATTGAAAACATTCTGTGAATCACTTGGAGAACATGGGAAAGAAACAATGCAAAGTAGAGACAAGTGAAAAGGAGGAGGGCATTCATCCGGTCAATCAGTTGGGGATCCAGCATACCGGATATAACCGTTAGGCCAACAACGGTCACATCCAGCAGCCTATCCGGTCTGCCAATTGTCCGTCGAACGCTATCGAGAAAGCTAAAAATATGACTGTTGGGACTCTTTTTGTGCTCCAAATATAAATAGAAGTGGAAGGACTTCAAGGGAGGGACTGAGCATTCAAGAGTTGAACCACACTTTAAGAAAGCTATTTTACATCGAGTTTGACAGCTATATTGCAAAAAATCTACTCCCTCTCGTTTGTATGCATTGAGTGATATTTGTATTGTGAATACATCTTGAAAAAGAGAGTGAGTTGGGTAATCTTCTTGAGAGTGTGTTGTAGAGAGAAATTTTACATGTATCAAGAAAAAGGAAGTTCGTAAAGGTTTTGATTCTCAACCATTGAAGGGATTCAAGCTAGTGAAGGAAGACTCCATGGGGAGAAAAAAAAATGACATATGCCAAAGTGTTGGGGACCAAACCTCAATAAATCTTGTGTTTGGTTCTCTCTCTCTTACTCTCATGCATATTAATTGTTCATATTCACATTCATTGCACATCAAATATTCACTCACACACATATAAGCAATTTCACACATAGTAAAATGGATTTTTTAAGTAGCTATTAATTGAGAAAACTTAATTCCACCCCCTTCTTAAGTTGCATTTGGACCCATAGAAAGTACCAATAGAATACCCAAATTTGAACCAACGACTTTTGAAGTTCAATCCACAACCAGATATTAACAAATAATAGAACCACACAGAGCAAAGTAGTGCGCCGAAGCGAACCCACCATAGATCTTCAACCACAACCAAAAACTCAATATATAGAAGCCAACATAGGACTAAACAACAACACACTAAAGCAACCTAGAGCAGCCCTGATCTGTTCAAGGCCGAAATAGTAATCAAACACCAAAAAAAGCTCACAAGAATCACATTGAAACCAAAAACAAATCTATAGGCATCACAAATCCCACTTCCTGGAATCTAATCGCACCTATCTAATTTACATTGAAACTTCCCCACAATGGATCAGTGATCCGATACCCAAAAAAAATATGAAAATCACATCAAAAAACAAGCAACAAATGTCTAAAATTACTAATTGCAATTTTGATGAAGAATTAAAGCGGAATCCACCATATATAACAAAAAATCATACAACAACCAACCAAGATCACGCGTGTTACTGCTCATTGGGTACTGTTCACATGTTACTGTTCATAATGCATTGTTTGCACTGTTCACAAAAAAAAAGAAAGAAAGAAAAAAACTAAAATCAATGCTATGATGCGAAGTTGGAATTGTAAAAGTGGTACTAGGGTTTGTAGGAAAAGGAGAAGAGAAGAGAAGAGAAGAGAAAAGAAGAATGGAGAAAAAGAAAAAGAGAATAATTTGTTGTGTGTAGGCTATGTTGCCTTACACTCTCTTATAGTCTTATTTATAATAAATTGATAGTAGAAAAATTACAATATTACCCTACACTACTAACAATAAAAGTAAGAACTCTAACATAACTATATATATCTCTTTGGTCAATGAAATCTACAAGTTCTATTCCCTATTCAATTACTTGTGGGGGTATGTGTGTGTGTGTCTCTCTCTCTCTCATACTATACTGTTTAAAAGTACAAAATGTTGAGCAATTAGGAAACAATAAACTAAAAATTACGTGTGGTACTAAATAAGGATGTTATGAATGATGCATGGTAAAATTAGGGGAATGAGTGTACTTGTGAAACTATAGAAGTAACACTAACAAGAATAAATTAAGAGAGAATCAACTTATATGATTTGGACAATCGATGTGAAACTATAGAAGTAGCACCCACAAGATAAATTGAGAGAATCAACTTATATGGTTTGGACAATCGATGAGAATACGAGGGATTGAAGAAAGTCAAAGTTATTTTAGAGAAAAAAGAATATCATCACTTGTTTAACAAAACAATATAGCCCTTGACAAGATTCATATAACCGACTCGTAATTAATTCTTCCATCTTTTTTAATGTTTGCATTTTGGTGTCGAATAATTTATGATTGCTTCAATTATTTCGTTTAGTCGTATGAATTTTGCCTTTGTTAATACAATTATTTAGTTTAGTTGTAAAAGTTGTTTGATCAAATGCCCCAAAGATTCTTGACATACACTCTCTGTATTTCACAAGCACACACCATAGTCACACAAACACCCGCCATCTAAATCACAAACATTGCTAAAATTAGGTTTGCATTATCTTTTTGAGTCTTCAAATAATTGTGTTTTCCTGCTCATTAATATTATTGCAGTCTTTATATGTTTGATGTTGATGTTGATGTCGATCTCGTGGACTTGACAAAAGAGGAAAGCTTCTCAAATTGTAGGAAGAAAAGAGAATTCTCATCCAATTCGTTATTGAAGTCACATGTTTGCTTAAATAAACATATATGAATAGAAACACGATCTTGGAACAGACTAATGGATTCTCATCTTTTTTCGAATATACAATTTTTGTGTTACGTAGAGCCTTTCCAAGTTTATTCCATTGTTTAACATAGTCACCACTAGAGGTTTGTTTAATCAATATTTATTGTAATTTTTGTCACCTATTTTATTACAGATGGATGAAGACTCCAAGAAAACCATAAGATGGATTTCTTTTCTCCCATTTTATTATTACTTCTTACTTATATTGATATCAAACTACTTACCTTTTGCGTACTTATAGGTCCGGTTGCTTCAAAAAAATATAGCTGAGGTAGTTCAAACCACATCTATTATTTATGCTTTTTTACTAAAGTGGTTTTTCAATTATCTATGTTGTTTTTTTTTGAAGGAAAAGAAAAGGACAACTGCAACAATGAATGCTAGATCTAGGGGAAAAGGGAAGGTAAGTTCCTCCAACAATGGAATAGCAAATACAACACGCCAGTTGGTATGGTTTTTCAACTGTTGTTGTTTGACATGAGAAGTGTAAACTACGATTAAAAGGGTGGATTTTATCAATAGGGATTTGTGAATTTGGGATGCCAATTGAGGTTGAATTTGTTTTGTTTGTCAAATTTATTCNGTGAGAAGTGTAAACTACGATTAAAAGGGTGGATTTTATCAATAGGGGTTTGTGAATTTGGGATGCCAATTGAGGTTGAATTTGTTTTGTTTGTCAAATTTATTCAATTTTTTTGTGTGCACTTTGTGCAGTTGGTGACATGGTATTAATGATGTTGAGGAAGAAAATTTGATTTTGGTTATGCGTTTGGGCACTTTGAGGAATGAAGTTGTATTTTTTATGTCATCTGTGTGTTTCTTTTGGTTATTACATGCCTAAATTATTAATATTTCTTGGTTGTAGTACCAAATGTGTGTTACTTCTTTCATGGCTGTCATAGTTTGGTTATGAAAATTGTGGATATGATTATGTATTGTTTAACTAAACTTGAAATTAAACGTTTCGCACTATTTTTTGTGATGTTCTTTAGTTGCACACACTTTATATTGCTGCAATGGTTGGACATTTTTTTATATTACGATTGGACTGTGGTGCAATGGTTAGTCCAATAGTTGAGTTTCGCATGTGATTGTAACATATAGTAATTGTCTATACTGGTTGACAGTTTTTGGTGACTTGTTATTAGGGAAACTCTGTCCAAAATTTTTTAAAAGAACACAGAAATATTGTATTTGATTAAATGTTGGCGAATTTTTTGTTTAGCATAACATAGTGCCTTTAGACACAGGCATTTATTCTAACAGCATAGGCTTGCAGAACCCTCTAAGTGGACCTTTTGGGCACTACTGTGAGTTCTAATTAGGTATATAATTTCAAGGATATGCATTTTATGGGTTTTCAATTTAAATTTGTGGGCTTTTAATTATTAAAGCTACGTTTTCTCTATCTCTTCATTGAAATTTATCTTCATGAGAATCTTTAAATAGGTAATACTTTGTTGAGTATGTATACAAAGTGTGCATGTTAAGGATGTAGTTTAGGCTTTGCGCTTAATGCGTCTCCATGTTCCAGGCTTGATTTTTTTGTGTCCATGACCAATATTAATGCTTTCGAGCACGGGTTATCGCTAGTAAACCAATATAGTGTGCAGAAAAAGTTTGGGTTTAAATAGAATTACAAAACAAATTAAAATTATTGGTCCTATTTGTCTGTCTGTTTAAACTCCAGCTATCAAATCTAAGCATAAATTGGAGTAACCTGTCCCAAAGGAGAGTCTTCCAGTGGCCCGATTTTATCATCATTGCTACTCTTTATTGGTTCTTCTTCTAGAATGTTAGCTCCCTCAGCTTTGCTTTCCCTACCAGCAGCTTCCTCAGCTTCTTTTTTTTCTCTCTCTTCTTTTTCCTTCTCTAAGCGTTCTGTCACCTCTGCCTTTTCTATCTGCTCCTTGCGATCTAAATGGGACATGAAACAAGATTTAAAAATGTAAATTAAACTTTAAATAAAAAAGGGATAGAGAGAGACCAACAATGTTAAGCTCATGAAGGCAATTAGACCTATCAATGGTGACATGCATCAAAACAAGAAGAAATGTCAATGAATGGTTTCACATCTGTTTTGTATCAAGAACAATTAGATCACCAGATTTTGACATTTATAATTGAAATTGAGGAGCTTTCACCCCACACCACGCAGCATATACAACAATATTCCTGAATTTACTTATAATCGTTTCTCTCTGCACGACCAATTCGTAGCGTACTTCCTAGGAACACATGCAAAACATCTCAAAATGGTGGGCTGACCTTTAAACTGAAAATTATGATTAAGGAAATAATGAAGAAAGAAAAGGAGAGAATAATATTAGCACCCTGAGTCTATGTACCAACTTAATTTTGGGAATGCACAATAGAAGTTCTATATATAGTAGGGTAACACAAATAAAATAAATAACTAAACTACCCTTAACACCAAATATATTATCTAACACCCCCTCAAACTCAGGATGTGATAGCAGAAAACATTAAGAGTTTGCCAAGCAAAAAATGAAAATACACTATTGAGTGAGATTTCATAAAGACTCCGCCACTTCCATAATAGAAGGTACAAAAGAAATAGAGATACTGCCCGATGGAGCACAAAGTGACAGTTATGGGTAATTTGAATAGCCTTGTGTTGTAGCAATACATAGGGGTAGTAGCAAATAATGAGATACGAAGGTTAGCAAGCAGACAACATAACCAAACTATCTTAGTTGTAGTGGATGTCATAACATGATATTTAGCTTCAGCAAATAAACGAGCAATAATAGTTTACTTCTTATTTTTTCAAGAAATAAGAATCACTAAGAAAAAAATAGAAACTAATAGTGAACTTTCAATCCATAGTGTCACCAATCCAATCAACACATGAGTAAGTCCTGAGTTTCAAATAAGGAGGAAATAATACTCTAATGTTGAGGACCCCGAAAATAGTGAAGAATACAGCAAACAGAAGAGACGTTAAGCAATACAAATTCGCCATAGTCATTGTGGACTATTTTACTAAATGGGCAAAACCTAAGGCGTTAGCAAAGATCACCGGGCAGAAGGTGAGAAACTTCGTGTGGAAATCAATAGTCTGCTGGTTCAGTATCCCAAAGGCCGTGGTTTCTAACAACGACAAACAGTTCAACAACCCCAGGTTCAAAGGTTTCTGCACAGAACTAGGCATCAAGAATTACTTGTCAGCACCTGCACACCCGCAGTCGAACGGACGACCCAAGGTCACCATTCGAACCATTAAAATAGCGCTAAAAACAAGACTAGAAGCTTCTAAGCCCCAGAGGGTCAGCCAAGTCCCGGCAGTGCTATGGGCTTATAAAACGACTACACGGGCAAGCCACCAACAAAACTCCATTTAGCCTCACGTATGGAACCGAAGCAATGGCTCCAGTCGAAGTTTGGATTCCCTCAGCCAGGGCCGAGCTCTTTGACCTAGCACAGAATGACCAATCTCTACTCAACAACCTTGATCTCCTTGACCAAAGAAGAGATGAGGCACTACAACACATTTTCTCCTACCAAAGGAACACTACACGATATTACAACCAGAGGGTCAAAAAAAGAAGTTTCAAACTAGGCAACTTGGTCCTCAAAAAGCTAATCCCAGTGAGGAAAGACCCCACACACACAAAGCTCGGTCCAAGCTGGGATGGCCCATACATATTAAAAGGGGTGGTCCAACCAGGAAACTATTGACCTACAGATCGAGTAGGGAAAGGACCTCTAGCAATCCTGGAAAGCCAAATCACCTGAAGCAATATTATCAGTAGGATCAAGGTGTTATGAGTAGTAGTACAATTTGAAAATAGAGGGCAGTTGTAAAAACTCAGTTCCTGATCTATGAAATTTGAAATTCTAGCCAACAAGCTTGTATGATAGACATTTCAACTCTCNAAGGTGTTATGAGTAGTAGTACAATTTGAAAATAGAGGGCAGTTGTAAAAACTCAGTTCCTAATCTATGAAATTTGAAATTCTAGCCAACAAGCTTGTATGATAGACATTTCAACTCTCGAAGGCACGAGCTCTTCAACCGCGCAACTTCAACTAGACTTTTCAGCCTAAGAGTTTTTCAACTAGGTTAATTACAAGCTCTTCAGCCTTCAAAGAGTTCTTCAACTCTCAAAGACGCACGCTCTTCGGCTGTGCAATCTCAACTAGACTTTTCAACCTAAGAGTTTGGCAACTTGGTTATTCACAGGCCTCTTAACCTTCAAAGAGTTCTTCAACTTTCAAAGGCGTGAGCTCTTCAGCCGGGGGACCTCTANAACTAGACTTTTCAACCTAAGAGTTTGTCAACTTGGTTATTCACAGGCCTCTTAGCCTTCAAAGAGTTCTTCAACTTTCAAAGGCGTGAGCTCTTCAGCCGGGGGACCTCTACTAGGCTTTTCAGCCTAAGAGCTTTTCAGCTCGATTAATCACTGGCTCTTCAGTCTCCAAAGAGTTCTTTAACTCTCAAAGATATTATCTCTTCAGCCGCGTGACCTCGACTAGGCTTTTCAGCCTAAGAGGTTGTCAACACGGTTAATTACTGGCTTTTTAGCCTTCAAAGATTTCTTCAACTCTCAAAGGTACGAGCTCTTCAACCGCACGACCTCGACTAGGATTTTCAGTCTAAAAGCTTTTCAGCTCAATTAATAACAGGCTCTTCAACCTTCAAAGAGTTCTTCAACTCTCAAAGACGCTACCTCTTCAGTCGCGGACCTCGTTTATGCTTTTCAGCCTAAGAGCTTTTCAGCTCGATTAGTCACAGGCTCTTCCGCCTTCAAAGAGTTCTTCAACTCTCAAAGACGCTACCTCTTCAGTCGCGGACCTCGTCTATGCTTTTCAGCCTAAGAGCTTTTCAGCTCGATTAGTCACAGGCTCTTCCGCCTTCAAAGAGTTCTTCAACTCTCAGAGGCGCAACCTCGACTAGGCTTTTCAACCTAAGAGGTTTTTAGCTCAATTAATTACTAGCTCTTCAGCCTTTGAAGAGTTCTTCAACTCTCAAAGATGCGAGCTCTTTAACCATGCGACCTCGACTAGACTTTTTAGCTTAAGAGCTTTTTAGCTCAGTTAGTCACTGGCTCTTCAACCTTCCAAGAGTTCTTTAACTCAAAGGCGTGATCCCTTCAACCGCGTGACCTCCACTAGGCTTTTCAGCCTNTACTAGCTCTTCAGCCTTTGAAGAGTTCTTCAACTCTCAAAGATGCCAGCTCTTTAACCATGCGACCTCGACTAGACTTTTTAGCTTAAGAGCTTTTTAGCTCAGTTAGTCACTGGCTCTTCAACCTTCCAAGAGTTCTTTAACTCAAAGGCGTGATCCCTTCAACCGCGTGACCTCCACTAGGCTTTTCAGCCTAAGAACTTTTCAGCTCAGTTAATCACAAGCTCTTCATCTTTCAATGAATTCTTCAACTCTCAAAGACGCAAACTCTTCAACCACGAGACCTCGACTTGACTCTTTAGTCTAAAAGCTTTTCAGNAGTGACCTCCACTAGGCTTTTCAGCCTAAGAACTTTTCAGCTCGGTTAATCACAAGCTCTTCATCCTTCAATGAATTCTTCAACTCTGAAAGACGCAAACTCTTCAACCACGAGACCTCGACTTGACTCTTTAGTCTAAAAGCTTTTCAGCTCAATTGCGTACACGTTATCACCAAATTAAAGGCCCAAAAAAAAAAAAAAACCAACAACAGGGCAAAAGGACCATGTCACATTGACAAGAGGCCAAAGAGTTGATTACAAGAAACAAAGCAAAGTATTCAAGATTCTTCATTTCTCCTCTTCAGCTCCGAGACCTCCTTTTCCAACTGAACATTCACCACTTTCAGCCGAGCATTCTCTATTTCAGATCGACCCTCTCCTTCTCAACGTCGAATAGCTGCCTCTTCAACCTGGCCTGCCCAAATGCCATCTCCAACTCAAAAATCGTGAATCTCCTCTCGCTGGACAAGGATTCCGAGGGATAAGTTAAAGAAGACCCCTAGAATCTCTTCATTTTCCTTCTCGATGAAGTAGCAGTGTCTTCTTCAAGACCTGCTAGGGAAGAATCCTCGTCAATAACAGGAGAAGGGCAATCGGGGCAACAGCTAGGATGAAAACCGAATCAGGGCCAAGTTGAAATCTGAAAAGATTCTGAGTTGTGACTAGTGTGGATAAAGGAACTGCCTCAACTAGGCTAAGGTGGCACACCCTCATAATCTCATCAAGAATCAGTCTGGGGTCACCTGTAGTAACATGACAACCATTAGCCTTAAGAAAAAAGGGTACAGAATGAGGATGCCTAAACCACTCCAAAAGACAAACCATTTCCTTATCTTTGTTCGAAATGCATCTCCAAGAGCGAGGAATTCGGGGATGGTCCATGAGAGCCTTGCCGAATTCCCAGGCATCCCCGAAAACAAAGAAAAAATGTTGAAACCACCCCTCGGGAGAGCCAGGAGCGTTGAGAACCACCATGGAAACTTGAAACCTCCATGTAAACCAGTAGTAGCAAGGGGGAAAGTCATAATCAAAATGAAAGAAGTAAAGGAACTCAGAAACGGAAGGGAGGCGGTCATGACCATGCATACGCCAGAAAATAAAAAAGCTCACAAGGTTGCCACATCCTTCAAGCAAAAGTCGTGAGGGACAAAGCCCAAAGAAGGCTAGAATCTGCCTAATAGATGGGTTAATTAGCAGACGAAGCCCCATCTCAAACACAACCTCAAAGAAACAAACTCTCATCTGAAGAAAAAAGTTGCAAGGCTCATCGGAAGTAGGGCTCTGAACAATCAAACCCGCAGGAAAAAGGTATCGCCTCCCAATTTTCTCTGCCTCAGCTACCGTCACAGTGCTGGGAAATAGAAAGACCGCATATCACAGATCATCAATAAGAATACGAGCGTGCTGTTTGAACAAAGAAGAGGAAGAGGAAGCCATGAAAAAATAAGGCAAATGCCAACCAAGAGAAACACAAGGGAGGGATAAATGTACGAAGGTAAAAGCCAGTTTGAACAACGAAGGGAATTGCTTATAAAGTCAAAAATGTGACGGTTAAGCTCCTTCAATGAAACGGCCTTATTAGGGAAGTTAATGCGAGGCGTTTTAGGTGGGGTTAGGTGGAGTTAGGTGGACGCATAATTAGATGCATTTAATCACCTTTTTTCAAAAACTGTACGAGTTGGACGCCCATACCAAGATTGAGAAGACAAGAAGCTTGACCCTCAAGCTCAGTGCTCTAGCAGCTCGTACCATCCAGCTCGAGAACAGAAGACAAACATCCAGGGCACATAAGGAATATGCGCACTTCGGACACCCAACTCGGGGGAAAGGGGCACATAGCTCGTACCCTCCAACTCGAGAATTGGCGAGCTCGAGAGCAAGAAGGCNAGACAAACATCCAGGGCACATAAGGAATATGCGCACTTCGGACACCCAACTCGGGGGAAGAGGGCACATAGCTCGTACCCTCCAACTCGAGAATTGGCGAGCTCGAGAGCAAGAAGGCAAATGAGGTAAACTCAACAAGTTAAGAAAAGACGAGCACCTCCAACAGGCAAGACGTGCACTCAAGGAATAAAAGAAAGAGACAGAACCCATGCCCTCCGACCCACGGCAAGTAACGAAACAAAGTTTGAGAACTTAACTCGCAAATTAGACAACACTAACGAAAGTCATACTCCAACTAGGTCAAGACCTCATTGGAGCAGGGGGCAAGGGAAAAGAAGCTAAAATAGGCTTTCATTCCATTTACAAGAAAAGGGGAAAGTTTGCATTACATTCCAACCCGACACACATTTCAAAACAAAAAAACAAGAAAGAAGCTATATTTCAGCTGGCTCTTCAAGGCTTCGAGCTAGCCGGGTCAACATCGCCACCACTAGAGGAGCTTCCAGGAAAAGGGTTGAATCGAGGCTCATGTCAAAGCCAAGATCAGGGAACTTCTCAAGAGCTTGCTCTTCAAAATTGAAAAACCCATACACAAATGTATGAGTAGTTTCCCTTTTCAATGTCTCTATCTCCTTTTTTCACTTCGCGACAACCGCCGCTCTGCATTCAAAGAGTCATCAAGGTCAACGATGATTGTGCGAGACTAGGCCAATTACGCCATCAACTCCATGTTTTCTACTTGCGAATTGACTAACTCATACTCTTCCCGGCTTAGTTGATCTCACAAAGAGATTTTTGAAGGGGTGGCAAGAATTAGTTACCGAAAGACCTGAGCTCTCTCCTCAAGAGCAGCCTCCAGTTCAGCCTCTAGCCCTACGCCCCAACGTAGTAGCTCAGCCAACTTTGCCTCTCTCCTCTCCGCTAACACCATCAAATGATGGATCTCCCCACCTAAAGAACAGGCATGTGTTACAACCTGAAACCAAATTAAATGAATAAGTGCCAACAAGGCTAACGTCAAAATGGGTAAATCGACAAGTCATACCTCAAGAAAAGCATGCAAAGAGCCTCGTGTCCTCGCCCTAAAGGGTACGCAGACAAGGTCGACTGAAGGAATCAGCTCCATAAATGCTTGGCTCACTCTAGCCACATCATCCAAAAGACTCCCACCAGAACTACTAGCCACGACTGGTTTGGGACGCCTTGAGCTAGAGCCTTCCACACCCCCAAGAAAAGGTCTACGATGCACTGGACCCACCTCGGAATTAAGGGACACAACTCCGATTGTGGCCTCTCCAGTAGTCGGCAAGGTCAGGGCCTGGGCTTGAGGACTCGATGCGAGGCTATCTTCAGCAACCCTCGCCCCTCTTTAAAGGAGGCTTGGGAACCGGCGCTAACCTCCCTTGCCCCACCTGCTCAACTATCACGTCCCTCTCACTGACCAAGTATGTGGGGGCTGAAAAAATAAGACATTGAAGGAGTGAATTAGGAAGGCCTCATAAAGACGAAGTACTCAAACTTTGCAAGAAAATCTGGCATTTATAGCTAGGGATGTCAAATAGGTTAGGCGCAATCAGCCCAGCATATGAGAACGGTAAACAAGCACAAGCCTAATGAACCCGAACTCGTGCATCTCTAGTTAAGCTCGGGTATTCACCTGCAAAAGAATAAGAGGGACAAAGTTAAAATCATAGAAGTGGGAAATGGGTAGCTCGATAGAGGAAAACTCACCAAGGCGAGGGAACTTACAAAGATGAGCACGTCACCCCCATACAGTGGGAATGTGAACTGACGAAACCACCTAGGAAACGAATTCCCAGCTTGTTCCAAACACAAAGAAGAACCTCCACCTCCAACCTTCAAGCTTAGGAGGAATGTCAGAAATAGGGGTTTCTCTCACTCTTCTCACTATAAAGCAATAGAGCCTAGACAACTTTACAGGGCGAAAAAGGCTGAGAATCTTTGTTAAAGTAGCACGCAGCCGCATGAATAGGTGCTCCCATAGAAGGGGAACGCCAAAAAAACAACCCAACCCGTCGGTAATACCATGGTGGAACAAAAACTGAAGAAATGAAAAGCATCCCTCACAAAGAGAGGAAGGGGAAACATGAGGTCCAACTGGAAGGGAAACTCAAAAAAACAAACCTAATGAGCCAAAGACTAGTGATAGGGGTCATTGCTTATGGCAAGAACCATTACTCCGGTGGAAAAACTGTAATGGGTATACAATGCCTGGGCCTCTACCACATCGATCTAGCTAACCTTGACGTCTAGAAAGGTCTCTTAGGGCCTCATAATCATAAGTAGAGAGTTGTGCCATGGTGAGAACTCAAGACAAGGGTTCAAAAAATCAAAGTAGAAACTCTAAGAAAATGAAGATAAAAACACTCAAGAAAAGTGACGAAAGCCTGCAAATAAAGTTTGATATTAAAGGAGTTTTAGGCAGTACACATCCCTCCTCCAAAAGGAAGTAATAAATGCGCGTCCATCACATTAACTGCACCAGCCACGTGACACAAATCAGGGGAGTGGGTGTTACTTTTGAGGAGATACCCTTGCCTTCGCAAGCACATAGCCTCAACTGGAGGAAACCGTCAAACTAGGAAGACACGAAAAGGCGGACAAAAAGTCTGAAATAACCTTGATGATCCAGAATAGTTCGGGCGCAAATGTTCAGCTCGAGACTCATGAAGGAAAGGGAAGTTCCCCGCATCTCTCCCAACACAGACTGACCAAGCAACCCAACCACAAGCAAAACAATGAGCGCACTCAACAGCTTGGGAAATCTACAGCAAATGGAGGTTGCTACAACTCAAAGTAGTGAATCTGAACCCTCCGAGGCTAAAAGCTAAGAAGGGTGCAGTGAAGAGAGGGAAAAAGAGGAAAACTAAATAAGGAAACACACAAAAAGCCATCTAGAATAAAAAGGGCATTACACAGGGAGCATTAAAAAACCGGAAATGGGGNCTGAGGTCCAAATGGAAGGGAAACTCAAAAAAACAAACCTAATGAGCCAAAGACTAGTGATAGGGGTCATTACTTATGGCAAGAACCATTACTCCGGTGGAAAAACTGTAATGGGTATACAATGCCTGGGCCTCTACCACATCGATCTAGCTAACCTTGACGTCTAGAAAGGTCTCTTAGGGCCTCATAATCATAAGTAGAGAGTTGTGCCATGGTGAGAACTCAAGACAAGGGTTCAAAAAATCAAAGTAGAAACTCTAAGAAAATGAAGAAAAAAACACTCAAGAAAAGTGACGAAAGCCTGCAAATAAAGTTTGATATTAAAGGAGTTTTAGGCAGTACACATCCCTCCTCCAAAAGGAAGTAATAAATGCGCGTCCATCACATTAACTGCACCAGCCACGTGACACAAATCAGGGGAGTGGGTGTTACTTTTGAGGAGATACCCTTGCCTTCGCAAGCACATAGCCTCAACTGGAGGAAACCGTCAAACTAGGAAGACACGAAAAGGCGGACAAAAAGTCTGAAATAACCTTGATGATCCAGAATAGTTCGGGCGCAAATGTTCAGCTCGAGACTCATGAAGGAAAGGGAAGTTCCCCGCATCTCTCCCAACACAGACTGACCAAGCAACCCAACCACAAGCAAAACAATGAGCGCACTCAACAGCTTGGGAAATCTACAGCAAATGGAGGTTGCTACAACTCAAAGTAGTGAATCTGAACCCTCCGAGGCTAAAAGCTAAGAAGGGTGCAGTGAAGAGAGGGAAAAAGAGGAAAACTAAATAAGGAAACACACAAAAAGCCATCTAGAATAAAAAGGGCATTACACAGGGAGCATTAAAAAACCGGAAATGGGGTTTGAAGCTACATAAACTTACTACAAGTACAATTACAATTCATCACGATATCCTACAATCCATGGATAAAAAATAAGCGACAACCTCCNAAAGACGAAGTACTCAAACTTTGCAAGAAAATCTGGCATTTATAGCTAGGGATGTCAAATAGGTTAGGCGCAATCAGCCCAGCATATGAGAACGGTAAACAAGCACAAGCCTAATGAACCCGAACTCGTGCATCTCTAGTTAAGCTCGGGTATTCACCTGCAAAAGAATAAGAGGGACAAAGTTAAAATCATAGAAGTGGGAAATGGGTAGCTCGATAGAGGAAAACTCACCAAGGCGAGGGAACTTACAAAGATGAGCACGTCACCCCCATACAGTGGGAATGTGAACTAACGAAACCACCTAGGAAACGAATTCCCAGCTTGTTCCAAACACAAAGAAGAACCTCCACCTCCAACCTTCAAGCTTAGGAGGAATGTCAGAAATAGGGGTTTCTCTCACTCTTCTCACTATAAAGCAATAGAGCCTAGACAACTTTACAGGGCGAAAAAGGCTGAGAATCTTTGTTAAAGTAGCACGCAGCCGCATGAATAGGTGCTCCCATAGAAGGGGAACGCCAAAAAAACAACCCAACCCGTCGGTAATACCATGGTGGAACAAAAACTGAAGAAATGAAAAGCATCCCTCACAAAGAGAGGAAGGGGAAACATGAGGTCCAACTGGAAGGGAAACTCAAAAAAACAAACCTAATGAGCCAAAGACTAGTGATAGGGGTCATTGCTTATGGCAAGAACCATTACTCCGGTGGAAAAACTGTAATGGGTATACAATGCCTGGGCCTCTACCACATCGATCTAGCTAACCTTGACGTCTAGAAAGGTCTCTTAGGGCCTCATAATCATAAGTAGAGAGTTGTGCCATGGTGAGAACTCAAGACAAGGGTTCAAAAAATCAAAGTAGAAACTCTAAGAAAATGAAGAAAAAAACACTCAAGAAAAGTGACGAAAGCCTGCAAATAAAGTTTGATATTAAAGGAGTTTTAGGCAGTACACATCCCTCCTCCAAAAGGAAGTAATAAATGCGCGTCCATCACATTAACTGCACCAGCCACGTGACACAAATCAGGGGAGTGGGTGTTACTTTTGAGGAGATACCCTTGCCTTCGCAAGCACATAGCCTCAACTGGAGGAAACCGTCAAACTAGGAAGACACGAAAAGGCGGACAAAAAGTCTGAAATAACCTTGATGATCCAGAATAGTTCGGGCGCAAATGTTCAGCTCGAGACTCATGAAGGAAAGGGAAGTTCCCCGCATCTCTCCCAACACAGACTGACCAAGCAACCCAACCACAAGCAAAACAATGAGCGCACTCAACAGCTTGGGAGATCTACAGCAAATGGAGGTTGCTACAACTCAAAGTAGTGAATCTGAACCCTCCGAGGCTAAAAGCTAAGAAGGGTGCAGTGAAGAGAGGGAAAAAGAGGAAAACTAAATAAGGAAACACACAAAAAGCCATCTAGAATAAAAAGGGCATTACACAGGGAGCATTAAAAAACCGGAAATGGGGTTTGAAGCTACATAAACTTACTACAAGTACAATTACAATTCATCACGATATCCTACAATCCATGGATAAAAAATAAGCGACAACCTCCTCAGCCTCTTCAGTCTGCTCAGCACTAGCTCCCTCAACAGATTCCTTTGGATTCAACACCTCAACCTCCGACATGAAAAAGTCCAAGTCAAGGTCAGGGTATGACCTCTCAACCTACTCCTGGAAGTTCATAAACCCTTGCACGAAGGCAGAAGCGTTTGCCTCGAGGAGGTCAGTAATCCTCCTTTCTCAGGACTTCAACTCAGCCACTTTTGCCTTCAACTCCTCATCCTTCACCCTCAATTTGGCATCTTTGCCCTTGGAGTCCTAAAAATGAGTGTCCAGCTCGAGATAGGCCCTCTTCATCTCCACCAGCTCTGTGACCAGGACAACATTCTTCTCCTTGGCTTGACCTCTTCCCGCCTTGGCAGAATCAACAACGTCTAGTGCCCCTCCCAACTCATGCTCTTTTGCATCAAGATCATTCCTTAGTTGTTGCTCAGCAAGTTGGACCTTCTCAAGTTCAAAATGCAAGGGAGCTTGCTTGAAGGATTGACCAACCAACAAACTTGAAACATGCTCATGATGGCACTCTATCATCTGGATGCATGCCAAAGCCTAGCAACAAAGGCACGTACTGTAAAAGGGAGAAGGAGAATCCACAAGCCATATTCTAGGGGCCAATAAAAGAACACGATACCTCAGCCAAACCTTGGATGACGTGTTTGGTCTTCCTTCCGAAGCTAACCTTCATAGCCTCCTTAGGGTCTGAGGTGGGAACTAAGTCGGCCACTGCGTCCACAACTACAGCCGGATCACGGAAGAACCCGCTGCCTTTCATATCCACCTTACGAAGGTCCTGCTCAACCTCTTTTCCTTCAGGGAATGTTGTCAAAGAAAAAGCTGAAGTCGTTCAGATG